TCTGCCAGGTTACTTGGTGATGCTGTAGACCAGCGTGGTGTCTTCGTAGTTGGCTGGTGTCAGTGGGTGCATAAATGTCCATAAGGGCAGAATTAATAGAAAGGACAGCATGCTCTATCCTGATGTAGGATCTCTGAACAGCCAGAGGTTGTAAATCAAGGCAGCGTTTCTGCCAGGTTACTTGGTGATGCTGTAGACCAGCGTGGCCTTCAGCTGAAAAAAATCCACAGGAAGAAAAAAAGCACATAAGACTTCACACAAGCTAAAGGCTGGTTTGATCAGCTGAAAAAAATCCACAGGAAGAAAAAAGCATGTAAGACTTTACACAAGCTAAAGGCTGGTTTGGTAATTCTGATCTCATCTCTCAAGTACTTCCTTGGTGCTTTAAGTGGAATCATTTAAATTTAATGGAAATATTTTAATTTTTAGTGTTGCGGAGACGTGGGGGAGAAAGCAAGGATTAAGTCCCAGCCTGCCTAAACTCCGGTCTGGAGTCACAGTCTTGCTTAAATCCCAGTTTGTTGGGATTTACAGTGGTTTTGGCAATAGTTTTTCCAACTTGCTCTGTAAGTGGCTGGATCTTGCACAACTTGAGGTGGTTGTGGAGAGAAGTGACAACCAACAAACTGCACAATTCTTTGGTGTGCTCCATGCACTGCTACTTCCCTGGGACCCGATTTATGCACCCACAGCCCTTTGCTGGGAGGAGGAGGGTGAGGAATATAGGTCATCAGCGGGCCAGGCTGGCAACTCCTTCCTTCCACTGTGGCGAGTTACTCCCTGGAATAGACTCATTAAGGTCTACAGATCATTATTTTCATTAGTGGTGATTCACATTAAGAGTTTCCCAATCAGGCCGTGCTGGTGTAATATGTTCCTTTTCCACAGTGCCATTTATCTACACATCTCAGAATACTTTGTGTACGTTAAGCTTTAATCCGTGTTTTACCACCAGTGGAGTGGGTAAGGAGGGCTGTTTCCAGTTTGCAAGTGAAGTAAACTGAGGTACAGAGCAAGAAGGTGACTTGCCCAAGGCTCTGCAGGTGGGTTGCAAGGTTGTCCAGGGTGCTCTCTTGCAACAAGCGTACGTTTCCCATACGTGGTCCCATTTCCCTGCCCAAATTTTAAAGGAACACTTGATTTCCTGAGGCTAAGGCTGAGCAGAAGTCTGTCTATAGCTGTAAATTCAGAAGGTCTGATGTAAATCAAAACTTCCTCTAGTGGTTGGGAATGTTTAGATTTGTCATCCCGGACTGGCCCTGACCTGAAGGCGTTGGAGCAGAACCGTGGGGATGTTTTTTTAGGGCTGGTATCAACTGGTTGGTAGAAGATGTAGAGTTAAGAGTTGGTCAAGAACTCTGCTTCTTATCTATTCATCCCTCTGCTTCTGATCTATTTGTCCTCATCTGCCTGTGTGGTCAAGGGGGTCAGTGTGGACAGTGAAGGATGAAAGTGTGGTTCATCTGACTCAGTTACCTGCTAGAGGATGAGATGAATTGTGACTTTAACTCCATTGTGTGTCACCTGTGAAGGGAGATAAGAGTTCAAGTGAGTCCTGTCCTAGTGCCCGTAGAGACATTCACCTTGGAATGTGACTCTGGGCTTGAGCTGTCCCACCTGCAGGAATGGGCAGAGATTTCATTGTTTGCTTTGAGTTTAATCTCTTGGGGTAATTAGGCAGATTACTTCAATGGTGTGTATTACAATAACGCCTAAAAAAAAATAAAATAAGGCAATGGTAACACCAGCCCTCCGTTCCCTGCACTAGGGAAATGCACATCAAGACTCCCAGCCCCAGGAAAGCTAAACACATGCAATCTGGGAGAAGGACCATGTCCAGAGAGGGGAACTGACTTGCTCGTGGCCCTTTAACAAGGGAATGGCAGAGCCAGGGAAGGTCTCCCTCTCTCCAGTGCTCCCATAACTAAACCATGTTGCCACTGAACTGACCTTCATCCACTTCTGCTTCCTCCCCTGCCAGGTTCCCCTTCTCTGAGGGCGTATCCTCTCATCTCCGTCATCACCAGGCAGCCTTCCGTGGTCCCTCACCTGGTCCCAGCTGCCACCAGCTCCCGTGTGCTGCCAGCCCAGCCCTCCCCGGGGACCACAAGCTCCGAGACCCCCGCCAGTGAGGCTCATGCCAGCAGCGAGTCGGAGGCAGAGCAGCCCGCACCGCGGTTAAAAAAGCCACGCCGGAGCAGGACCATCTTCACCGAGCTCCAGCTGATGGGCTTGGAGAAGAAGTTCCAGAAGCAGAAGTATCTCTCTACCCCCGACAGGTAAGTCAGTCTCTGACAGGAGGAAAAGGAATGAGCAAAAAAGCCCTGCTCAGCTGTCCCCATACTCTGGCTCCACAGAGATGCCTCTGCCCTTGGCCAAGGACATGACCAGATTCGATTGCAAGGCTAACTTTTCCTGGGATCAAGATGACACGAGTAGATCATATCAATGGAAATATCACATTGTGATCTAGGTGCTTTCTAGCAAGCATCCAGGCTGAGACAGGCAAGGTATGGAGCAGAAGGCTCTCTGCCTTTCCCGTTCCTGCTACATACAACAAAGGTGGAGCCTGTCTGCTCCTGGGATCTGGTGGTGGATGGCTGTGTCTCCACGACACCTGGGAGGTTGGCTGTAGCTTCAGCTGGCTGCTGAACTAGCTCTTGTTAGCAAAGTTGGGTAGCAATTCAATGAGAAGATGTTGGCCTGTCCATCAGTGTGAAAAACAGAGCCAGGGGTGTGTAGAGCTGAAGGGTACCTTGCCCTTGTGAAGGAAAAGGGAAGTTCTTAGGGTCTACTTGGTACCAAATGCACAAACCAAAATAAGGAAAGGTTTTATCTGTTTTAAAGACTTTGAATCCTGCTCTGCAAATTGAAATTACAGGAAAAAGACCTGACCAATTCCTATCAAGTCTATGAACCTAGAGAGGGTTTGAAAGGTACCCCAGAGCTTGAACTCCACAGATGGCAGTGTCCCAATATTTAAATTGGTTTGGAAGATCAGCATTTGCCCCTCATACTGCCCATCACCAAAGCCAAGGATCTCAGCTAGACCACGTTTCATGGGCACAGCTGGGCTGTCTCATCCAATTTCAGAGTCCCTAATGCTCCTGTACTGACTCCTCGCAGCTTCACACAGCCAAGTGGTTGACAAGGTTGATGAAGCACTCAAGACTCTTAATGAATTTCATGGTGTGACTGTTCCTTGGCTTTGTACATGCTTGAGGCTGATGATGAGCAATTCCTGTGCTTGTACCACTTCCCCTCTGTTTGTTTCCTCAAGTTGCTAGGCAATGGTGGTTACGCTAATGTGTGTGGCAAGAGATGGCAACTGGTTGCAGGTAGTCCAGGTGTGATAAGACATGTGCACCAAGGCAAGAGTTAGTCAAGCAGTGTTTCTCTCAGGCTGCAAACATGATGGCCAAGCAGTGGGTTGCCATCTGCATTTGCTCCTGCAGCTTTTGGCCTGAACACAACGTTGTACCCTTTGGAGGGCAACGGGAGCACCTGGTTTATTAGTAGTAAGGAGGCACAGTACAATGGGATAATGACTCTGCTGGATGCTGCTTCCCAAATAAAAATGATAGTATGTTTAAGTCAAGGAGGTATCTTGTAGATATTATGTAGTGAAAAATGAGGGCAAACCAAGCTTGTAGGTCTAGAGTGAATCCAAAGTGGGGGGGAAAAGCATGAATCCACGAGTATGTGTTTGAGCACAGAGAGCTGTTGTGATGTACGTAGGTGTTTGTCAATGTAAGAGTGGGTCTGACTGCCCGAGGAGCCCAGCTGGAACAAAAGGTTTATTATGAAAAACTTGGCCTGGACAAGTGCGTTTCCCCCCCAATTCAAAGGTGGGGAAATATTTTCCAAGAAGTTCACACGATCCAGAACACCTTGGAATGTGACTCTGGGCTTGAGCTGTCCCACCTGCAGGACTTGCGTGACTCTGTGGGGCACTTTCCTGGCGTTATTGAGGATTTCCAACTCCGCTCCCCTTGTGCAACTCCATTACAACACTGCCAGATGCAAGGTGCTATCACCTGTGGGGAAGGATAAAGAGTTACTCTGAGCTGCATTTGCTTCATATCCTGGGTTTTAATATAGAAATAATGAGTGGTTTCAGACAAACTTGCACAGGTTGGAGATTTGTGGAGGATGAATCAGGATTATGGGCTGTCTGCCACATATATCCTTAAGCAAAAACACGCAAATAATAAATTCATTTATAAGCCTAAATTGCCTATAATAGCAGAATGCATAAGAAATTAATAGATTTAGATGTACTACTACTCCGTGAGAAATGAGAAAGCAGTATTATCCCCATTATGTAGGTAGTGAAGGAGAAATGTGACACAAAGAGCAGCACTATCAAAGGCAGAGGGATGCTGGGTGTCCTGGTTTTCATGTGTTTGCTTCAGACACCATAGACCTGTTTCTCAGGGATGCGGTGCAGCAGTAGCTCCCTGTTTCATATGCAAATGTGGGGCATCAGCAGTTGGAGTACAGAACTTCCAGGCTTGCTCATTGGTCCAGTGGTTACAGAGAGGAAAAAAGAGAGCCTACAAACACCTAAATATTCTTGCTTCTTCCATAAGAGCATCTGAACATCCTAAACTCACAGCGTGTTACCACATTTGTCTGATCTTTACTCAAAACAACAGATTAGAGAGACAAATCGCCACCTTTTCTGACATCTTTTCTTTTTCATAGAATCATAGAATCATAGAATGGTTTGGGTTGGAAGGGACCTCAAAGATCATCTAGTTCCAACCCCCCTGCCCTGGGCAGGGACACCTCCCACTAGAGCAGGTTGCTCAAGGCCACATCCAGCCTGGCCTTGAACACTTCCAGGAATGGGGCATCCACAACTTCCCTGGGCAACCTGTTCCAGTGTCTCACCACCCAACACTTGTACGTTCTTACACAGTTGGATTGGCTGTGCCTGGCATCTGAGATGCTCTTCTCCTCCATGAACTCATTTCAGTGTCTTTCTTGTCTCCCAGGCTTGACTTGGCCCAGTCGTTGGGGCTGACTCAGCTCCAGGTGAAGACGTGGTACCAGAACCGTAGGATGAAGTGGAAGAAAATGGTAAGTGGTTCGTTACTGTTGCTCCGTGGTCCTTAAAAACTGATTTCCAAAGAGCAGATCTGGAAGCTGAGCGTAGTGTCAGTGACCCGTGTCTATTTATACCAGGTTTTGTTTTATTCTTGACCACTTTTCTGAGAAATATACTCTTTTTAAAAAAAAAGTTTATACCGCAACATATGTGGTGGGCTAGAGGGACCATGGGCAGCAGGAATTAGAAAAGAATTAGTAGAAATTAGAACAGAACAGAGGGAAGAACCAAAATAATCTCCCTCTGTGTTTTTGGCATTCATAATGCTTGTGGGATTGGTTTTACGCATAGACAAAAAAGATTGTATTGCTCCATGGAAACCAATGCAGTTTTGAGAGCTAATATCATTAATTTTGGCTTTTTATATCTTCCTTTCACCTCTTTCACTTACTCTCAGCCACATGGCCCTTTTCCAGTTAAAATGCTTTTAGAAAAGACAACTGTCCGATTAAATTCTGGTGGGAACCGTGATGCTGTGACATTCTCCAGTGGAGATGTTTATCCATCCTGACCTGGGAGAGGAGATGCAGTTCTAGGCTGTGCCTTTGCGTGTGTGTGAAGCTGCAGAAGCTACTGCCACTTCAAACAAATTTGGGGTTACCTTGGGTGCAGGTTTTTGTTGGAAGTGGCTTGTTCCTGCAGTGATGGTGTGAAGGGAGGAGGGAATTAAACCTGTTTTGCAGACTCCCACCTTTTACACAGATGAGGGGGTCTCATGTAACGCAGGTGTTACAATAATAACAATAATAATAATAATAGTAGTAATGCAATAAGGCTATTTCAGAAGCCAGAGAGGCTAGAGGAAAGGCAGTCAGAGGAAACTTGGGCCTAAGATTTATGCTTGTTCTTACTTGGGCTTTGAATAAAGCAAACCCTCAGGAAAGGAACTGAATTCTGCATCAAATCTTCTGTCTGTAATGTTGAGGACCGTGTGCCTAAGTTGCTTTTGGGCCTCCTGTAGGAACTGAGTTAGAGACCTCCAGATTTTGGGTGTCCTTGGATGGCAATGTTGGCGTTTCATTTTATTTATGTGAGATATATAGTGAGTGAGTTCACTCCATGAACGCAAGACACTGCAGTGAGGCTGAAATGGTGGCCAAGTCATGGATTAACTTTGAGGTCAAAGCCAAGCTTCATCCTCCTCTAAAAGATGACCCTCCTGACGGTTCGTCTCTTTGCTGCAGGTTCTGAAAGGTGGACAGGAGGCTCCAACGAAGCCCAAAGGCCGGCCAAAGAAAAACTCCATTCCCACCTCGGAGGAAATCGAAGCGGAAGAGAAGATGAACAGCCAGGCGCAGAGTCAGGAGGCATCTCAAGCTCCTGAGGAGCCTAAAGTGACAGAGGAGAAGCCCGAAGTCTCTTTGGAGACAGAGAAGTCTCCAGAACATATACCAGAACCCTCCTCAGAGGAGACTACGCCATTAAGTTAAAAGGGAAAGTGAGGAGGGAAAGGGCGGGGGGAGGAAAGAAAAGCAACAAAAAGATAAGAGAAAAACCAAAACCAAATATATATATGTATATATATATATTTAAATATGTATGTAATTGTGTGTGTGTACATATATATATAAATATATATATATATATGTAGGCCTTGTGTATAAGTCTAAAGATTGGTCACTTTGTGCCTTTGGGAATCAGCCATCATGGGCCACGGTGGAACAAAGACACCCCGTGGTGTCTCTCCTCGGGGCTGGAGAGAAACCACCTCTAGAAGCCTGAGACAGCTCCTGGCAAGGAAAAGAAGGTCCAGGGCTCCTTCCATGCTGCGGGAGGCACATGCGTGGTCTTAGGACTGCTCTGGAGGGTGCAGCGCGTTCGCTTGACTTTATCCTTGCCTTTTAAAGTAGTGGAAATGGATGGAGAACTTGGTCTGGTCTCAGATGGGGGACAGGTGAGAAATGGGGAGCTCTGATAGCACCATTTCATCGCGTAACCAGCACTTATTTCTGCTAGGGATGGGCCCAACTTTGGCAGTTTTAGGAAGGAGTCCAGACCCCTGGGTTTGCTTTGGCCTAGTGTAAAGGTCAAAGCTTCCGAAGCGAGATTCATACCCCGGGTCAGCGTTTGGATTTCAGCTCCCGTGGTTGTTTGGGTGCCGTATCCGTGAATTTGCAGTGATCCAGGACAAAAACTTTGAATGGAACAATGGGGGTTTGGATTTGAGTCTGCTCCAAAAGCTTTGGGATGCTTGGATCTGGGATTTTTGCTTTGGGCCCCCTTCTAATTTTTGTAGGGTTTTTTTTTAAAGAACATATAAATGTTTTCAGGGTTTGGGGAGAACGATGGATTTAAGAAGTTGCTGCAGAAAGTTCGCATTTGTTTAAGATGTGTGCCAAGAATAGATGTGCATCATGTTTCATAAAGTCTTGTTAAGGGTGCATTTTGCCCAAAGGCTGCAAGAGATGTATTAAGATAACCTTTATTTTTTAATTAAAAATTAAATATATAAATAAAACAGTTGTTGTTGTTGTTTCTCTTTCAGAATTCTAAGACAGAGACTTTTCTGGGCTAGGTTTTCCCTTTTCTAACAAACCCTGGAGGGAGCGGGAGTCATCAAGACTTTCCATAGCACTTCTGCACACACTTCTTTGTAGCACCTTGTGAAGGTAGGTGAGGGGTGTTGTTGGTGCCACCTTGTCACTGGGTGCTGAGGAGTGTGTCAGAACGGGAGCACTGATGGTTTGGCTATTTTCTGTCACGGAATCACATGGGGTTGGAAGGGACCTCTGGAGATCATCTAGTCCAACTCCCTGCCAAAGCAGGTCCACCTAGAACAGGTCCCACAGGAACGTGTCCAGGCGGGTTTTGAATGTCTCCAGAGAAGGAGACTCCACCACTTCTCTGGGCAGCCTCTGCCAGGGCTCTGCCACCCTCACAGCAAAGAAGCTCCTCCTCACGTTGAGGTGGAACTTCCTGTGTTCAAGTTTGTGCCCATTTCCTCTTGTCCTGTCCCTGGGCACCACTGAAAAAAGCCTGGCCCCATCCTCCTGACACCCACCCTTGAAGTATTTCTAGGTGTTGATCAGATCCCCCCTCAGCCTTCTCTTCTCCAGACTAAAAAGACCCAAGTCCCTCAGCCTTTCCTCAGCAGAGAGATGTTCTACTCCCCTCATCATCTTTGTGGTTCTCTGCTGTCCCCTCTCCAGCAGTTCCCTGTCCTTCTGGAACTGGGGAGCCCAGAACTGGTCCCAGTGCTCCAGATGGTGCCTCACCAGGGCAGAGCAGAGGGTCACCTCCCTTCCTGCAGTTACATCTGGACAGCAAATAAAAGGGTCTTTGTGGCACGTGCATCTGCATCAGGTAACACTTCCATGGTGAAGCTCCAGCTGCCTTCAGCCAAGCCAGGGTGGGACATTGCCCCCACTCACTGTGTATTTAACACATCATCATCATCAGCTTTGAAAAGGCACCTACAGGTTTTAAGTGCATCTACAGGTTTGCACCTAAACCTACATCAAATTCACCAGAGTTGGGTTGCAAGAAACCTTGCAAATCCCAGGTATTTGGTGCCATTTAGCTCTTTGTTTACAGCACAAAAGAGATGGAAATGGGATAAAAGCTTTCCCTCTTGCCTGTTGTGTTGCAAACCCAGGCTGGGAGCTAGGAAAATGCATCAAAATGATGTCTTTAAACCATTGTGCTTTCCCCTGAGCCCTGACAGACTCATGAGAGGCCAGGGTGGTGGGGCAGGATTTTGGCACTTGTCTGGAGTTACACCATACGTTGTTACACATTCTTTATCTGTGGATGTATTTTTTTTACTCCTTTCTTTTTTTTTTTTTTTTTTTTTTCCCCAGAACTGTGCCTTAGTTCAACCGTATCTATTGGACTTGAAATGGCATTTAATTTAAAAAAGGCCTATGGCCTGTTTATACAGGAATTAGACTAGATGGTCTATGAAATCTATAATCGTCCTCTGTTGTTCTTGGATAGTAGCAACAGCGCTGTTATCTCTAAATAAAATGTTTCCACAAGTCTTAAATAGCAGTGCTCCGTGAGGGTGAAGGGAGCAATTTACTGGAAATAATTTGTGTAATGAGTTTCACCATCAGATTGCAAAAAAAAAAAAAAAGCCTGCGAGAGTTTCTACGAGGTTTATTTGGAAGCCTGAATGGTTCATTAAGTCACATTTTGTGTGCAGATCGTTCCAGAACCATAAAAAGCTGACCATCAGGCATCAAAGATATTTTAATTTCTCTGAATTCCAAGTAGAAATATCTTCTAGTGATTTTTTTTTTAAAGTTTGAGATGTATTTTAAACACAGCGTTTGGAAATTTCAGTATATAGCTTGCTTTCAACCAAAATATGTTCCATAAAACAGACAGTGCGTGTGGCTTTTGTGGTTTTTTGGATTTTTTATTTTTTTTTTTTTTATTTGGCTCCTAGTGATTTTGTCTATTTTGAGGAATTTCGGTAGATTTACATGGCGAGGAGGGGGAGAAAGAAAAGTAGAAACAGGGAAAAAGTTTCTTTCTCACCCCGAAATAGGAATTGGTGTTTCTGTGCTATCCAATTGAATGGATAAATATGAAAATACAGAATTTTAAAAATATGTAAGATGCTTTTCTCAATCACAAGTAAAACGAAGTTGGTCATTTTCCAGCAAAGAGTAAAATAAGTGTTACAAAATGATATTTCCCACTTCCCAGATGAAAATAATTGTTTCTGACTCAGCCCCACTTTACAGTGGGAATGGTTCCAGTGATTTCTTTTTTTTTTTTTTTTTTTTTAATCCCCTTCTAATCACTTATGAGTCAATCTGGGTAAAAATGCAATACTCTAGCTGTCTGGGCTAGTTTGTAATGAGTCCATAAGACACTGAAGGTGTTTTTGTTCCTCTTTTGGATGAGTAGCGATCTTAGCATCCTATTTTTCAATGTGATTACTTAAGTGCAAAATTAGCTCTTGAAACGCTGTCTGATACTTGCTCACATGGAATGACTTTCACTGATAATCTCCTGAACGCTCACGGAAAGCACGTACAGAATTCATGTGTTTGGGAGGAGAAATGGTAAAACTGTTGAATTCCTTCTTGGCTGAATCTTTGCAGACTTGTTGTCTGTTCTGTGTTACATCTGCAGCCGCAGAAAAACATCTACAAATTCTAGTAGAATTGGACATATGATTGTATTTTTTCTATTTTATGATTCGCTACTGATCTCAGCCATTGTTTGTAGGCTCCTTTTCCTCTTTGTTAAAGAAGTTTCTCCTATTCCTTCACACTCTTGTTGTAAGATTTTTCCTCCATTGAGATTATTTGTGCTCTTGTCACTGAAATGCAAATAATTGAGAGACTCTGCCCCTTTCCTTTGGGCTAAACTGAGGATGGGCTCCAATGTATGTGGAGACACCATCCCTGGTGGTATTCAAAAGCCAGGTAGACATAGTGCTTAGAGATATGGTTTAATGGTGGGTTTTGTCTGTGTTGGGTTGATGGTTGGCCTGGATGATCTGGAAATGGTAAAACTGTTGAATTCCTTCTTGGCTGAATCTTTGCAGACTTGTTGTCTGTTCTGTGTTACATCTGCAGCCGCAGAAAAACATCTACAAATTCTAGTAGAATTGGACATATGATTGTATTTTTTCTATTTTATGATTCTCCACTGATCTCGGCCATTGTTTGTAGGCAAGTGCTCCTTTTCCTCTTTGTTAAAGAAGTTTCTCCTAATTCTTTACACTCTTGTTGTAAGACTTTTTCCTCCATTGAGATTATTTGTGCTCTTGTCACTGAAACGTAAAGAATTGAGAGACTCTGCCCCTTTCCTTTGGGCTAAACTGAGGATGGGCTCCAATGTATGTGGAGACACCATCCCTGGTGGTATTCAAAAGCCAGGTAGACATAGTGCTTAGAGATATGGTTTAATGGTGGGTTTTGTCTGTGTTGGGTTGGTGGTTGGCCTGGATGATCTGGAAGGTCTTTTCCAACCTAGAAAATTCTATGATTCAAGCCTGGCTGTTTGACTTTCATCTTGAAAGGGATGTCCAGCTCTTGTTGCTGCGAGTTGCCTTCACTTCATGGTCCTGAGAGCCAGGAAGAACATTACAAGTCTCACTTTAGGCACCCTGGTTCAGAATCTGTGGTCAATATTGACTAAATCTGCACCACCAGGCTTCATCTTCACCAGCAGAGTGACCACAGGGCTCTCCAAGTGCCTTTGCACTGGTCCTGAAGATAGTTTTATTTCTTTAAAGGTCCTTCTGTCTCCCCAGCACTGAGGCCTCCTGTCCCAGGGCTGCTTGTCCCTTAGTGGAGGAGTCCAGGTAGAGTCGTGTGCCCTTGGGGCTGAACCTTGCTGATGTTGAGGGGTGTTGGGCTTCCAGTTCTAACAGCAAGGAACAAGCCCCGATGTCGAAATCCGAACTCCCCTTCAGGGATGGAAAGTGCTCATATCCGGAGCTCTGGCTGGGACCCACCTTTTATTGTACCCACTGCTTAGATAATTTTGCAAAGCACTGAGCTCATCCCTCAAGATGGTAAGTTCCCCCAGGTCCCAGTGAGGATGAATGGGCTTTCGTCCTGTTTTTTTTTTTTTAAAAAAAAGCAATATGTATTCATCTAACTCCAGGCCAGTACAAAGAAATTTGGCATTTAGGTGGGTTTTCAGTTCCCCCTTTTCTCCATCATCTTTTTTTTTCAGAAGCAAAATGGAAAAGGGCAGTAAGAAAGGAAGGAGTGAAAAAAGAAGGGAGAAAGAGGAGGAGAAAGAAAAAGCAGAGAAGAAGAAAGGAAAAGCTTAACTGTATCAAGCTACATGAAAAATAAAAAGCAGGAGGAAAAATAATTGTGTTGAATAGTCAACTCTTAATTTTTTGGTAAACTTAGACAAAGAAAGCTCTGGTTCTGTAAAGAGAGATTTTTTTCTGGAGTTTAGCTGTACATGCAAGGAGGGTGAATGGCTGTTTTTTCATAAATTCCCTCTTTTGGTATTAAAACATAGTGGAGTGAAGAACTGCTGGATTAGATTTAGGATTTGGTCCCAGATCTGTGTCTTGGCCAGGTTTGGTGACACCTGGATCCCATGGAATCCTAACGTTGGGCATGAACACCCTGTAGGAACCTCGTTCTTCTTTCTCCCCAGGGTCTGGTACAGCTGGGTGGGATTTATCAGGTTTTAGTGTGAACTGAAGAATGGGTAGTTTGGGGGCATAAATCTCTGGAGCGCAGTAGCTTTCCCTTTTTTATTGATTTTTTTTTTTTTTTTTTTTTTTTAAAAGGGGCCCCCTGCAAAAAGTGTTTTGTTTGAGGCGGGGAGGGGAAGCGGGAGAAAAGAAAACAAGTCCATCACTTTTCTCGGGGAGGGAGGAAGAGGAAAAAAAAAAAAAGAAAGACCAAAATAAAAAAAAAGAAGAAGAAGAAGGGGACCTTTTCCTTTTTTTTTTATTTTTTTTTTTTTTTTTTTTTTTTACAAGTGGCACACTGCAAACAGTAGTTGTGATTCAAATCTCTCAAATTAAT